TGGCAGTAGTAGTAGTAGTAGTAGTAGTAGTAGTAGTAGTAGTAGTAGTGGCAGTTGTAGTGGTAGTAGTAGTAGTAGCAGTAGTAGTAGAAGTAGTAGTAGTGGTGGTAGTAGTAGTAGTAGTAGTAGTAGCAGTAGTAGTAGTAGTAGTAGTAGTAGTAGTAGTAGTAGTAGTAGTAGTAGTAGTAGTAGTAGTGGTAGTGGTAGTAGGTGGCGCGGTGGGAGTAGTGGTTGCAGTGGTGGTGGTAGTGGTGGCGGTCGTCGTCGTCGTCGTCGTCGTGGTGGTGGTGGTGGTGGTGGTGGCGGTGGCGGTGGCGTGCGCGGTGGCAGCAGTGGTGGCAGCGGTGGCGGCAGCCGTGGTGGGGGCGGTGGCTGTCGTCGCCGCGGTGTTGGTAGTGGTTCTGCATGGGCGGCGGCGGCGGCGGTGGCGGTGGCGGCAGCAGCGGCGGCGGCGAGCGCGGCCGCCACTGGGGCTGAAGAGGATCTGGGGGCCGCGGTGTTGGGTGCCTCGGGCAAGCGGCGGCGGCGGGCGGTGGCGGCAGGGCCGCCAGCGGCAGTGGGAGTGATTGTGGTGTAGGCGGCGGGGGCGGGCGGGGCGGGTGGTGGGGCCGTGGCGGGGGCAGTGTTCGCAGCTGCGGCGGGGGCGGAGATGGTGGCGGGGCAGTGCTGGGCGGGGGGCGAGGGGCGGTGGCTGCGGTGGTGGTAGTGGCTGCGGCGTGCCCGGGGCAGGCGCGTTTGTTTGTTTGCTGGCCAGTGGCGGTGGAGGGTTGGTTCTCGCTGGCGGTTTAGCGGCGGGGGGTGGTGGCTGTCGGCGCAGCAGTGGCGGCGGCGGCGGCGGGCCTGGGTGGCAATGCCAGAGGCAGCGGCAGGGGTGGCGGCTGCGGCGGCAGCGGTGGCGGCGGCTTTCGCAGTGGTGGCGGTGGCGGTGGCCACGCTTGTGGCAGCAATGGCCAGCAGCAGCAGCAGCAGGGGCAGCGCCCCCTATTTGTTTTGCATTTTTGTCCCAGTGAGGGCTGCAGCCTCAAGGCCTTGCAGGCACACCAGAGGGTAGCGCGCATCTGCGCCTGACAGGGGGGCCCTGTGCCAGGCGCCTACCTTGCATGGGGGCCCCAGGGGGCCCTTAGGTTTCATCCAGGGGCCCCGAATTGGGGATTTCTTGCCTCTGCGCAGCGCGTCCCCGCACACGGCGCTCATTTATCTAAATTCCAGAATTCCTCGGTACGCAAAGCTCTACAGAGATCAAAAAGGCTTTACTTGCACAGAATCCTTTCTACAGTGATTTCCCCTGAAATGTCACTGTCAATCCCCCCGCAAGCACGCCCCACAGGCACCGCCAGGAATTGAACCCAGGAAGGTCAGAATGTGGGAGATAGGATGCCCCATTTGACTACAATCCCGATACTGCCCCAGGGAAGGGGGGGGGTTCTGGCTTAGTCTGCTAGCCCTATTCTATTGCACTTTCCCATTTCACTACGTTGCCTCGGGCAGGCAGGGGGAGGGGAGGAGGTGCCTGTGCCTGCTGTGCCTGTGCCTGCTGTGCCCAGGAACCAAGGGCCTTGAGGCCCCAAGCGCCCTGGCGCCATCAATTTAGGGTCTCGTGGAGAGCCTCTGGACTACTCAGCCTGAGGCCTCCGGCAGCAGCAGAGAGGCGTCTGTCCTTGTTTCTTTTTAGAGAGCACAAAAAAAATCCTGGCCCAGCCGGGCTTGTAAGACCACGCCCGCCTTTTTTTTTTTTTTTTTTTTTTTTTTTTTTTTTTTTTTTTTTCTTCAAAGGAAGTGCCACCTTCGGGGCTCGCATCGTTTCTAATCGTGGAACTTCTTCGTGCTCAAACTTCGTTGTTGTGCCCTGAACTATAACAGCAACGGCTCCCGCCAGATTCCTCCTTACAAGTTATTAAACATTTCGCGCTCTCGCGCGGGACTTCCCCACAATTGATGCAGGCATCGCGTCTCGAGTGGTTTTTCTTCGCGGTTTATTCAGACGCCGCTCCCTCGACACTCAGGAATCACGTTCTCACTCTTGCATGTCCCACGATTTACTTGGGAACCGTTCTATCGCTCGATATTTCCTCGCGATTCATGCGCATTTCAACAACCCGCCTGCTCGGCCTGATCGCCTGGGCCTGCCTTCCCGACCCCCCGCTAGGGTCTGCCCGCCCGATATGCCCGTCTGGTTCTGTCACGTGTTTTCTGCTCCTAGCCCCGCTCCTGCTGATTTCTCTCGTGCTCCATCCTTTTCCCTCCCCCTTCCGTTCGTGCTCTTTTCCCCAGCCGCGTTGTCGAAAGCATCCTCCGAATCAACAGCAGCATCGTCCGTAGCCGCTCTGGCCCATTGGCCATCACTGGCAGTTGGCGTGCGTGCCATGGCCGACGACAGCCTCTGGCGGCGAGGTGTCCAGGGCGCGGAGCGCTGCGGGAAGCCGCTGCGGGAACTGGAACGGTGCGACCATCCCAAGAGGAGCGGTACCAAAATGTGTGTCATGGCCGAGCAGGGCTGGCTGGAGTGCGTCTCGCGGTCTTCTTGCCCAGCCGAGCACGCGGCTTTCAGCAAGTGTTGGGCCTCCGTGCTGAACGGGGGCGGCTACCAGGACCCTTGCACAAGGGAGTGCGTTGCCAACTGCAATAGGTATCTAGACGCTGTGAAGACTTGTGTGGTTACGATGGCGTCGTCACCGCTACTTGCCCCTCTCCTCGCCTTGTCCATACCATTGTAATTGCTATCGCCATCACATCATTGTAATCGTTGTACATGCGTGTCATACATACACACCGCTCAGGCCTTTGCTGGGCATATGCTGACCACACCCCAACGGGCACATACAGGCAAATGCATGGTTACATGCGTTGTCTTATGTTCTCAAGCACGCGCACCTGCATGTGCACATACGCTCACGAGCACATACATACATGTATGCGCGCAATGATATGTGCACACTTGGACAAGAAGCAGCCTTGTCAATACATCTGCGCTTCTGCACATGCACGCAAGGGCGACCGTACATTGCCTGCACACAAGTGCGCGCACATTATGTTTTGCTCTGTCACGTTTCATCCAACAAGAGTAACATTGGTCTTTAGGACACGAAGTTCGGCTTATAGTATTTTCCAATGCGTTCAAGCTTCGCCACTATATCCCATGTAAGGGGTAAGCGCGCACACACAGACGCACCTATGTATGCAAGCGCGGATATGCATGGCCCCTCACATGTGCGCAGCCATGCAGGCGCACGTGTACATACTCTTCCATGTTCGCGTCGGCATGTACAACTTGTTCACGATTGCGGAAACCTTCTCCCCCCGGCCTCAAACCCCCTTCCCAGTCCTGCTCGGAAGCCGCCAGGAACGCACAACGTGGCTGCGTGGTCCTCCCGGAGGACCACCAGACGGCCCAACATTCCTCAAGACCACCTCAAGATGGCCCAGAACGCTTCAGCGATGGCCACAAGGTGGTCCCAGGGTGGTGCCGAGGTGTCCCCAAGGGATCCCAACATGGCTCTGTATAAGGCCCCAGACATGAAAAATCGTTTCCATGTTTCAGCTCAAGACAGCTTGGAAAAGGGCCTCAGAGGCTTCCAAGAGAGCCAACTCGGCCAAATGGGGGCCCCAGGACGGCCCAGGACGGCCCCAATGTGGCCCAAGGTGGCCCTCAAGACGGCGACCACACCCGCTTTGGCTCAAGGGCACGAGCTGCACTCCCTGGCCGAAGGTAATGATGCCTCTTTGCACCAGCCCGGGGGAGTCCTTCGGGCATGCTGCAGGGGGGGTCCTCGGCAGAGGGCAAGGAGCGGGAGGGCGCGAGGGGAAGCATGGCGGAGAGGGAAAGGGGGAGGGGCGGGGGCCGAGGAGGACGATTCCCCTCTGGGGGGCGGGCCCTCGGTCGCCCTTCAGCCGTGCACGGTCGCGGAGAGCTCAGAGTACATTGGGGACCGATGCCAAGAAGCACCCTGCTTGCCTCCAGGGTGCCCCGGGTTTCTTGGGTTTCCATGGTTTTGCGATGCAAGGCGTGACGTTCCCACACCAAAAATCAGCGGACGTCCTGGGGTCTCAGGGTTGGGTTTCCTGTGGAAGATTTCTTTGGTGGAGCCTCTACTGTATGGCATCCTTCCACGGAGTTTCCGCTTTCGACGCCGCGACCTTCCTGCGCTGCTGCCGCACCTGCCCTCAGATCAGCGGGGTCGGCAGCAGGGCTTCTGACAGCTTTCAGAGATTTCTTCCTTCGGCCCAGGTTCGGTGGGGGCCAAGGTGGGAAAACGTCACCGACCAAGAAAGGAATGCCACTGTTGCCTGAGCTGACTTCTGAATGGAACGTGTTTCCATCGCAGAGGGATGCCCTGTAAGCCTGCAATCTCCGCTTCCGCCTTGGCAAATGGATCGGCCTCACAATCGCCCCAAAAATGCAACCAATATTGAGCCCTTCTCGAGGCTATCTAGATCCCGATGTGCTTTTACCTTCGCGACGTCTTCCTAGCGTTCCGAGGGCGACCCAACAGAAAGCGAGGATGGCCTCAGATTTTTTTTGATCCGCGGGTCGAGAGCGCACCTCTCCCGGTCGAAGCTAAGCGGGCCGCGCGCAGCTTTAATTGACAGAGGGGGGAAGGCAGAAGGAGGGGCCTCACGTCAAGGCCAAGAGGGGGCAAAGCCCCGGAATCAGGCGGTGCAGAAGACGAAGTGCAGGCAAAGGAACATGGCCTCAGACACTCCAGGGCAAGTCCGACCAGTCCCAGCAAGTCACTGTGGATTGTTGTTTCCCCAGGGCAGAGAGCGGCACCCGCTAGCACTGCTCCCTGCCCTCCTGCCGGACCTGTGGGAGGGCGCTCCTGCCCTGCAGCGCCACACAGATCTGCCCTCACCGCGCCGCCCCGTCCAAGGAGGAGCAGGAGGAGGAGGAGGCTGGATGAGGAGGGGAGGACACTGGAGGCGGCTGGTGGGGAAGGTGAGAGGAGGACGATAGAGGCGACGACCACGACGATTACGAGCCGCCCTTGCCGCGCCGCTCGCAG